TTCAGGTCTTGGAACAGCTGTGCGTTGCACCTCCTCAGGCAGGCAGAGATCTTCATGTTCATCCTGGTTTTGAAGGTCAGTTGTGCCAATGGGGTGGTACCAGGATGATGGGCAGCAGTCATCCCAGATGCTAAATGCCACGTGCGCGGTAGTGCCAGCACAGCCGTTTGCACGGTGAACCCCTCATCTCCTCTCTGGGCTTGCAAAGCATCACCCAAGCTAAGCAATTTTTATTGCTTTTATGGTAGCAGCGTCCCTGATCCTCGCTTCAGAGATACACGAAGGTAGCTCTCTGAAGCCCAGTTGGTATGAAATTATATTCTGTAATCTCTGGCAAAGACGGGGTACGGGAGAGAGGTAAAAATGTTTGTGTTAATAGGAGAGCAGTGGTGTATCTGTTTCCAGCTCATGGTAAGGGGATGTTCAGTGAGGGACATCCTGAAGGATGGAAGAGCTTGCTTGTTCTTTCCAGTAGAAAAAAGGCAACAACAAACAAACCAAACCAAAAAATGCTACGTGTCAGATCTTGCTGCAATTCTTTAATTAATATACCAAGACTAGCTGTTAAGGTCAGGCATAAACAGGTTTACTAGCAAAGCCTGAAATTTGGTCAAAGGTTCGAAGTTAAACTCTCCCTGACTCCTATATTCAGCTGTTGCAGAAAGCCTGGGTCCTAAACTTCCCCTAAATCAGCTTAACTCCATGGGCTTTACACAGCTCCAGATCTGACCCACATAAATAAATTTTCCAGAAAATTATTGCCATGGTGAAAAGCCGAAGGTAAGGAGGAAAAGCAAAACCAAAAGCAGAAGTTATAAGCTGTGTTGATTGATTCAGGGAGATCAGTCAATGAAGTGACCCTCCCAGTTCCAGCTATAATCTGGCAATCTGTGGTTACTCCTTTTAGCAAGGTTAATGAGCTCTGTTTGGTAAGTTGAAAGGCTCAGATATAAAGTTGCTGCAGTATCCATCTACACTAGCTATGATACTGAATTTGGGGTTTTGAGCCTGAGCTTAGTTATTTGCTTCCTGCTGTGTTGAGAGTGAGTTTGGATGCTAAAATTGCACACCCACTGTGTGGAGGGATCCTTCAGAAAACTTGGAAAACCTCACTGGCCTGAAACCCCTCACTCCCTGGGACCCAGTTCTCTGCCTTTTCCTCTGTACCCACACGTGGCTGAAACAAAGGGTTGCCTGAAAACTCCTCAGACTGCCCATCATCAGGATCAGGAACCACAGAATCACAGAATGTCAGGGGTTGGAAGGGACCTTGAAAGATCATCTAGTCCAACCCCCCTGCCAGGGCAGGATCAATACCTGATTACCTGAGGCTGCTCTGGCCCTGCTGGCAACAGCCCATGTCCCCCTGCAGACAGTGCTGCAAGCCCACCTGCAGAGGTAATTTCAGCCCTACCTAGGCTTTTTTTTCCCTGTGACTTCAAAACATCTCTCAGTGGCGAGCCTTGGCACCCTTACGTATGTGCCCATCTGGGTTTACTTGATGCTCTTGCCCTTTCGGGATGTTCCCAGACCCTGCGGGGTTTGAGGGAAGGCACGTTCCATGCGGGAGACTTCACAGAGCCAAGGGCAGCCTGCGGGGATGGGGGTCGTTGGCACTCTGGTTCTGGGAGTTGGGGGCAGGTGGTGGCAGAACTTGTGCAATGTCTGTAATACTGACCTGAGGAGGTGTAGTGCATTTTCACCCAACACGTGGAGCATTTCCTTGGAAAACGTGCCTGTATGGCTGAAGAGCATGAGGAGGTGTCCTCCCCTGTGAGCACCTGTAGAGGAGTTCAGGCAGGGACAGACCTACTTTTTCGTGGTTTTCGAGGGTGTATGCGACTCACTCAGAGCCCACGTGCTTCCGAAGGGCTTCCACATGTCTCACCTCTCTGTCACTCCCCGCAGCGGGGGCTTTCCCGGGGAGCGAATCCCATCTCCCTGGAGGTGCGAGGTACTGGCCAGGGTGCGGACTGTCCCTGGCGGCCTCTGCTGTCAGACTCCATCGCCACCTGCTGGGGACACAGAGCCCCTCGCTGAGGGCCACCGCCACCCAGGCTTCAGCAAGCGGTGTCCCCAGGCCCAAGGGCAAGCCTAGCTGGACTCCAGCATCTTTCCTCAGGTGTTTTTTGGGGCAGATCTGCTGCTTCCTGCTCGGCTGGATTTTGTCTTCGGGCACTACATAAGGTTGCAAGTTGTAGCTCTCGGGGTTTAGATTTCCTGGTCTGGATACTAGCCTTCAGGTTTCTTTCTTGAGTGCTGCCAGCTCAAGGGACATGGGGGACACTTTGAGTTAGCAGTTCTGGGCAGGAAGGTGTGACAAACCCGTGCTGTTCTTCCCAGCGTGAAAAAAAATTTCTTGTAACCAAACAGCTGTATGTGCTGGGACCTATGTTCTCAGTGGGACCAGCCACATTCTGGAAAACCCCACTCAAATTTGGCCAAGGTGTTACGCCAAGATGGGAGAACATGGACAGAAAAAAAACCAAGAGGGGAAGGGGGAAACACAAGACAGAGGTGCAGAGGGATGGAAGTCGGATGAGATGCTTGAGGGGAAGCAAAATCTGGCTGAATAACTTGTGTAAATGAAGCCCTTCCTCAGCAGCTTTGTGCTCTGTGTGCCTGCTTCTTCCACAGCTGCTTTTGTGTTATCACATGGGGCAGATGCAATTCTCCACCTCACTCTGTTCCATGCCTGTCAGGAACGATGTCCCTGATGGGGCAGGAGGCTGAGCTAGGGTTTGTGGGGGCAGGTTGCTCTTCTGTTCTGCTTCTTCACTGTGAATGCAAGGAGGATATGTCTGACACACCATAGCCAGCGGCCTGCTCTGGAGTGGTTTGAGTGAAACCAGTGTGCATTGAACAGCTGCAGTGGTAGATTGTAAACTGATTTATCAAATGAGCTGTATGTCGGACTGCTAATGCCAATAGGGGCTGAGGACCGCTCATGGGGAGATTTGTTTGCTGACATAGTATTAGCCATGGATTTAGCATCAGTGCTGATCCCAGTTTTTAGGCTTCTGAAAGGTTAATATGCAGGAATGGGAAATGAAGTTGGGCAGAGGCAGCAATAATATTTCTGTCCCTGTGCTGCCCTTCACAGCTGAGGATGCTGTCAGCTCTTGAGAGCTGAAACCACAGCAGGCTCTAAAGGGTGGGTGAGAAGCCAGTGAGCCTCCAGGAGCAACCGGAGTGGCTGTTATGGCGTATCTCAATCTTTCCAGAAATGAAACCATATTGCAAAATGGGGGGTAAATAAAACCCAAAGCTTGTTTGTTTTAGCGTTTTTATTAAACAGTGCTCCACTCAGCAGTTGTAAAACAGGCCCTGACAATCCCCTCATCAGTCTATGAACCCTGGGATGTGATGCTGTGTGACACAAGGCTACACAAATCATCTCTTTTACAGAGCAGTGCCCAGGAGAAGCCCAGGGTCAGAGCAGTGTCCCTACACTGCCACCACACCAGCCAAGGTGGGAAGTAGCTTTCAGCAGGCCCCGTTTACTACAAGATCCCACTCCCAAACTGTATGATTAGCCAAATTCTGCTCTCGAGGCTGTGCTCCCTCCCTTCCAGTCACCTCCCTCTGTTGTTTAGGGCCCATGAGTGATAGGGCATGACCACTGCTGAGTCTGAGTGAGCTTGAGGTTTCCAACAGGGATGCCTAGCCCAAAGCAGATGAGCTCTTTTGTGCTTCAGGCTGTCATCTGATGAACTGCCAGAAACATGTGATGGCAGCAGGAGGCTGGTACTGAGGACACGGGCAGCTTTCCAGGAATGGTTTCTACTCTTTGCTGGAACGGCCCATCCAGGAGGTTCCTGAGGGTCTGCCTGTGCCACTGTGGCTAGGCTGCCTTGTGCTGAGGCACATGTGAGCGAGCTGTGTCAGCGTGCCAGGTTTGGTCTTCCTGTGTCCCTACTGCTGGTGCAGAAGCATGTCAGCGTGGAAGTTGCCTGTGCTGCCCTGTGGCTGCTTGCCTGCTCTTTGGTGGCCTGAGAGACTCAGCAACTGGGCCCTTAAAAGATCAAAAGCCACCTCCACTCTTGTGCAGGCTGAGGAGCTGCCCTCAAACAGCACAGAGCAGTGCGACTGCATCAGTAATTTTCACTGTGCTCACTGCTTAGCTCATGCTCAGTGCCAAGGAAGTGTTTTACAGGGTTAGGTCCCTAATTGTTGCAAATTACTGTAGCTAAGGACGGAAAAGCAGATTTATCCCTTTCAAGAATCTGGTCTGCTTGACAGGTCAAAGTTATTTAACCTAGGGCAGATTTTCCAGTTGGGTAGAAGTCTGGTTGCAAATCCTACTACAACAGGCAGTAGCAAAGCCAATAGTGACTCAAACTATTCAGAAAAGCTTATAAAACAAAGCATGTAAACAACATTTACACACGTAACAGGTTAAATGCTGACAGAACATTTCTTTTCCCATGCTGCTGCTGGTGGGCCTGGCATCACTTAACACCTACACTATTGAAACACAATTTTAAATAAAGACTGCAATATAAACTTCCAAAGCTAAACAGAAGAGAGCACACCAGCAGGCATGCTTAGCTCACTTTTAGATAGGAGTTTTCCATCAGATGATCAATAGACTTTTGAAAAGTTTATCATGAGCTATCAAATAAGCACAAAAGCTAGTGAATTATTTGTCTGTCACTAGTAAAAAACACACAAAAGAGCTATACATAGCCTTTGTCTTTAAAGCAGACAGGTGTAAATTCAGGACAAGGCTTTGGCTACCAGTTCCAGCTGTGCCACTTGTAATCTGACATTAAAAAAAGCATATATAAAGGCTCCACAGTCCATCACATTCGCTTTGTATTTAGCAGCCCAGCTACTGAACTGCCTACTCCCTGGGTGCTCAGAAAAAAACACACTTAAAAGCAACTTGCAGGTCAATAGTCTCAGGTTTTCATCTTTTGCTTTCCAACAGCAAATAAATTCCTGCAATTATTTGTCAGCACAAAAAAAATAATAAAAAGATTAAATGGCTGAAGATACATTCAATAGAAATCTTTCTCCCAGGAAATACGATACAGAAAATAGCAAAACTCTATAGCAAACAAAATACGTTTTTTCCCTGCTCCCACCTGCAGCCCTGTGTTTTTGAGACACCAGCAAAATCTGCATTCTGTCTTTTAAACAGAAACAATGCAATGAGATGGCTAGCAATACTAGAGAACTCGGCATGCCCTCAAGAGGATGGATTTATGTAGAGTTAGGTGAACAACGATGAGTTTGGAAGAAGGAGAAAGCAGCTTCGAACCGCTTGTCCAAGTGCAGAAGGATTCAGGCAGGGAACTGCCAAGCTCAGATTCAGAGTTCAAAGGCGGGGAACTTGGCCTTGGTCGGAACCAGGAGATCAGCAAGGAAGTAAATGGTTCCGGCCATTCCTGAGGATAAGAAAACATTCAGAGAGATTCCCTCTGGGCACCTGTTTTAGCAGTTACCTGGGGGTGAATGAATCATGGAGACAGAAGGAAGGAAAGCATTTTCAGAAGGACCTGAATAATGTCCAAGGTCTGACTCCAGGTTTCCTAAGCAACTTAGGTACTTCAGTGGGGAAAGCATTTTGAAATTAAATCTCCTACAAGACAGATTGCTTCTGGGAAATGGTAAAACCAGTGAATACAATCTCCTTCCCACCCGCTACACTGAATTTTGCAAGACTTCAGTGGAGTCTGTATTTGCTTTTCCTTAGTGCTGGAAAGGCTCCAATCCAGAACCAAAACACAAGCCTAGAGATGAAGGTTACCTTCAAAGAGAGAGAATGGAGTGTCTGGAGTCCGGCACCCGTGCATGCCATAACTTAAACACCACTCTGCAAACTGAGAAAAGAGGAATAAAAAGTGCTCAAATTTTGTTAAAGACAGATCTTAAAACCCGCCCCCACCACCCTCATCCTCACATAGTCCCTTGCAGAACAAGGCTTCTGCAGGATATTTTTCCCATACAAGTTGTCAGACAGTGACTGCACTGCTGAAGGACTATTCTGGCAGAGCTAGTCAGACCCAGCTGCACCTCTGCCACACTAGAAGTTTGGTTTCAAAGGCAGTGACACAAAAGGCAGAAGTGAATAATGCCCCTCTCCCTTCCTCACGTAGGCTCTTACCTTGCAGGCCCTGTACAGGTATTTCATGTTCTGAGTGAGGTTGTAAAGCGCTAGGAACCCGTAAGCGTTGCCAGCCGTCCCGTGGCACAGCCCGTAGCCTTTCTTCAGTAACCCGTGCTGCCAGATCACTTCTGCACACTGCAGCGCGTCGTTTAGGTACTGCTGTTCCCCAAAGACCTGCAGAGACACGAAACATTCTCTCTCACTGAGGTGATTTCCTCCACACAAAGAGCATCCCTGTGTGAGTGGGGAGGTTTGGGTCAATTAGTTTCTCTCCTGCTGGTATCTTAATGTGGTGACTTTGCTGTCTAGTTTAAAGGAGAATGGTTTTGATGTGATGAATGGGACTGTACGATCGTAACTTTCCACACAACTAGCTGTCACCATCAGTCACCTGCAATGGAAGGTTGCCCCCAGGCAGCTGATGGGTATTTTCAGAAATAATGTTTTAAAACACTAATTTCTGTATCAGTCAGTGGTCCCTGACTGTGGGGTCCCTGTTTGTGCAATGAAATCACAATGTGGGGTGATTTCATCGCACAAACCATCCTACTCTCAGGAAGGGGGGATCTCAATAGAGTTTTCTCCATGATGAAGTTCCACATTTAGGGGTCCCCAAAGGGACTTGGCACAATTTCTGGTACCTTGTAGGCCTGGGCAAGCATGTAGATAACACCTGGTGCCCCGTGGCACCAGTGGACGAGGAGGTCTCTGGTGTCATCGACACACGGAGGGTAATTGCCAGACGGGAATTTGAGCTGGCAGACGTAGTCCACGCTGGGTTTGACTGCATTGTGTAGTTTTACTTGGCTCACTCCAAGGCCAGGCTAAGAGAGAGAAAGTGTTAAATCAGCAAGAATTACCATTCAGTCTGTCCCTAAGAGGCCCAAGATTTGCCCAAAAAGCAGAACCAAAGCCAACTATGTCCGTGGTTCCTCACTGTAAATTTAATCTTTTCTTCGGTCCAGGCTTTCACAGGCACAAATACCTTTTTGGCCCCAAGCTGCTTTGCCCTTTAGCAGGGACTTCTTTACAGTTACACCCTTGCATCCCCAGAAACAAAGACTATTCCCAACCAGTCACCCAGCCCTCTAAGCAAGAGGGCTTGCTGCTTCTTTTCCTATAGATAAGCAGGAATAGTTTCAGGTATACAGAGTTGGAGTAACTAAACTGCTTAAAATCAGTATTAAGGACAAATACCAGGAGTGATTCCTAGCACCCAGAGCATCTCAGCTCTGAGCTGCTGGGCCAGCCCAGCTGGAGGGCTGTGCTGCTGCTTTTTCACCAGTTTCTGGGTAACTGCAAGGGGTGACTTCACCACTGACCTCAGATCGAAGCAAGGCAGTGGCCTCAGTGTCCTCTTCCAGTGACACTGCCCCACGTGAAATCTGTGCCATTTTAATTTCCTACAGCAGACTGCAATAAGCAGTCTGCTCTAAGGAGTACACTGCTCCTAGGTCGGTAACTTGAAAATTAAAAATCAATACTTGTGCTGTAAAACCTGTAGAGATAAAAGTCTAGTGTTCTCCTCTCTGTATTTTCCTTCTTTGCTTCCCCCAAGGCTTTTTGTCATCACGCTCGGCTGATCCAGGCTCCTTGTACTTCATATGGAGAAAAGGCATGAAGCCCATACAGTATTTTATGGGATACTTACACTGAAGATTATTTAAAATATCATCCCCAGGAAGCTCAGGGGCTTGGTGCAAATTTGGGCTCACAGCACATGTCTGTTTCCCCTGCTCCCAACTAGCTGTTCTGTACTCCTGGGCAAGAATCAGCTCACCTCCTGCTCTTGCCAAATCCCCTTCTACTAAAAAAACACCAGCCGCCCCTTCCTCTCTGACTCACGTAAGAGGGGTATATTCACAGGAGTTCCACTTATCCTGTATATGGGTTTGAACTTTGATGGTCCTGAAGAAAAACTGAAATACTTGAGACCTAGTGGCTTTTTTCCTACCTGCTGTGAGAGTTGGGTCTAATAAAAGACATCACCTACTTCTATGAACATTGCTATGTTAAAGTAATTTGCCTTGCTCAGTGGGTGCCCTTAATGCTTTGAAAATGCTATGTTACCTATTGCTGTTATTTTTCTAAAAGCTTGAGTACTGTAAATTTATGCACAAAGTGACCCACATAGGGGAATTATCACCCTCATTTCAGAGCCAGGGAAGGGAATATTCCCAGAGCTCCAGTAAGTTGTGCAAAATTGTGAGAAAGACAGCATCAAAGCAAAGGGGCACTGCAGCTCCCAACCTCTTGTCTTGCCTTGCGTACTTCAGACCCTACAGAACTCAACTGCTTTATCAAAGTCCTGGCTCTTTTGCATTTAGATACGGGCCCTGATCTGGGAACAAAAGGCATTTCCCACTTTCCTGCTAAGGATGCAATCTCTTTCACCATGTTTTCCTTACAGAGATTCTCACTCTGCAATGATCTGAGATTGCTCCAAGTAACCACCTCAAAAAATGCAGGAAGCCCACATACACCAACAAATGGGAATGCTTTATAAGCAAGGGTGGAAGCTCAGACCCTGCTGACCTACAGATGATAACACTGTATTGAGAAGGATTTAGGTCTTGTGGAATTTTTTGTGTCGAGCTATCAATAATAATTATTTGTAGCAATGCAGACCACAGGCCTCTTTCATGTGAATCTGCTGATATAATGCAGGTCACACTTCACTACAGTTCTCCACAGAGGTGGGAAATTCAATCTCATGGACTTGGAGAAAGCCTTCAGAAATGGGGAAATAAGGATGCAGGATCAAATACAGAATAAAGTCTATCAGACGAGGGACCTTGCCCAGCTTGAGATCACCAAGACCCATTTCAAACGCTCCTCCTTGCTCAAAGAAATGAGAAACAGCTGCTAAAAGCCCCTCCCCTCCAGTGCCTCTTACCTGCATGAGGTAGTAGTAAATCCCAGCCAAACCATGGGCTGCCCCTACATAGTACTCCTGGTACCACTCGTACATCAGGGGGCTTTTTGCTGTGAAGTTCCTCCTTTTGGCCAAGCTCTCTCCTGAGGCTACAACTGCTTCACAGACCTGCGGATGGGAACAAGAGGCACATGAGGGAAGTGCTGCTGTCCTGGATGCAGCACGGTGGCTCTCCTGGCAGAGAACTAACGAGCTGTTTTTCTGCCCGAGCAGGGGGAAGGATGTGGGTAAGGCAGTGTAACATATGCCAGTTCAGTAGTGTCTGTGGATCTGAATGGATGGTGGCGTGGTGCTTCAGCCTAGCAGGAATACTGTGATGTGGTTTCTCCCTTGTTGCCAGAGTTCTCTATATCTAACACTGGTCTTTACACCTAGCATTGTTTTTTACCTGCCGAACGACAAGCTGCATGAAAAGAGGCAGGTAACAAATCAGCAGAAGCCACAGTACCTGCTGAATGTGACTTTGAGGGATCTTTTCCTCTCCAAAGTGCTTGTTCACAAATATCAGTGCATAGAGATAGCCCATGCGCCCGTACAGCAGTTCGTCTGGCACTCGTGGGTCAAGCTTGTGCAGATGGAGCAAACTACAAAGAAAAATTCACATGGGGAATATTAGAGGACACTCGAACCCATGTAACCAAGCAGGGAGACTGGAGCTGAAAAATGTGATTTGCTCCTTCATGTTGCCTGTGCCCTGGGAGACGTCAGGCCAGTCTCTGGGTCTCAGCCTTCCAGCTATGCAAGGTGCAGAATCCCTCCTTCCCCTCTTGTTTCGGGGGGGGTTATTTCTCTCATCTGCTCAGCTCTTTACAAGGGAGTCATACCACGTGCTTGATTTTTAGAGCACCAGCTCTGGGAAAGCTACTTGTGGGGAAACCTGTGCTACAGGAAATGGTCAGCACGAAGCTGCCGACTGCTCAGGCAAGGCTGCCGCAATTCAGCAAGGAAAGCCTCCATTACCTCTCTGTGATGCTGTCGGCAAGGCAGACCCTTGCCAAAAATTACTATTTGCAAACTAAACTGTTATCTGTTCGACTACTCAAGGAACGTTAAAAAGTCAGACTAGCGCTGATGGTGTGTGGAAAAATCTCACCCCTTGTGCTCAGTAGTCCTGACAGGAAAGTCCCTTTCTCTCCATGCCTGCAGTGGCCAGGGCTGCGCTGTCCATGGATAAAGTAGTTTCTGTTGGTTTTGAAACGTGGGGCAGGGCTGCACGGCACGCGTGCAGCAAGAGATGCCTGGGATGCTGCCGGGCTGATGGCATGCAGAATGCCTTTGGCAGGTGTGTGCAGGTAAACTGAGGAAGAGCCACACCTGCCCACCTATCAGCCTAGTACCTCAACAGTCAAAAATCAGTAGCTTCTGGACCAAGGGAAAGCGAGGGCACTGTAGAGCCAGATTGCACTTTTGTATGCCAGTGGCTCTAAAACCAAACCTTTGACTTTCTGAATTGGTGGGAGCAGGCAGGGTCCCACCTGCAATTCTGTGTGCCTCCTGAAACATGACTCCGCTTTTCGCAGGCTCTTGGAAAATGTGCTGCCCTGAAACGCTAGTCCCTCCAGAGCATAAAAGGATGAAGCTTTGTTGGTCATGAACTCATTTAGGCGAGAGCAAGGAGCTAAGAAAAAGCAAGCTTCTGTCTCTTCTGCTGCAGGTAACACCTGCCTGATGGATTTTCTCGTCAGGCTCTGTAAAGAAGAGGTGCTTTAAAAGACAGAGAACAAAATGGAGAGGCCTTCCTTCTCCACAGCTGTAGGAGAAATGCACTTTCTATGCACCTGCACTGCACAACTTAGCAGCCGTTCTGTAACTAAACAGCATGCTCAAAAATAACTTAAGAGTTTTGGTTAAGGGAGCTGTTCCTCAAAGAAATATGTAAGGCAGCCTGGTCAGGCTAACTGCTCTGGGAATTGGTGGCAGAGTAAGGACAGTATAACTGTTCCTTTGAGAAAGCCACATTTTTATTTTGACCTCCTTTCAGATGTATGAAGAAACCAATTTCCAGGGCTCTGCCTTTATTATGCCATTAGATGGCAGTGCAGAATTAATCATGAGTTTCCATTCTGCCAAAAAAACTGCAGGCTGAACTGAAGGGATACACAGAGGGGAGAGCTACAGCAAGAAAACAATGAATTAAGGATTTTTCACTACTCGATGCTTATGTGGTGACCACAACTGTCCAGTCCTGTTTGACAGATTAGTTCCCTTTTTGTTAGCAAATACATTAATCATAGAGTCATCGCTCTGACACAGTATTAACCAAAACCTAAACCAGAGATTATTTCACGAATAGAGCTTGTCCTCAGATTGACCGTATCTATGTAAACCAGAAGCTGTTCTTAGTTAAGGCAATGAGAACTTGGTGTCCAAACCATAGAAGCACCTCTGATTCCCACCCACGGCTTTTAAAATTGATATACATCACTTGTGCACAGCTGTTCAAGGGCACTCAGTGTTGTTCTGAAGTGTCAGGGGTTTTATCTTGTTTTTGTGCTGACCATGCATAAACGGAAACTCTTTTCGGGGCTGCTTCTCACCTTCACAAAACTCATCTCCCTTAAGCAAGAGAAGCTTGCAACTGCACCTCCTTAGCTTTTTTGCTTCCTCGGACGCATGCTGATCTGACCGTAGGATAGCTTGTTTGTCCTTTTCTTGTCTTAAGTACCCAACAAAAATACATCTGAATACAGTTGAGGAAAGGCAGGAAATAGAAATAAATGAATCATTACCAGCTGCACGCAGCAGTTGAAAGGGAGCCTGTCAATCTTAGCTTTAAGTCAAAGGCAACTAACAAATAGCAAGTGGAAGTGAGTGACAAAATTAATCTAATAATCCTACCACATTTCTCCTTTTCATCAAAACGGCTGTAAATCTAAATTTAAGGGTTCTGGAAAAAAATACCAAACTTCCTCTTCTGCTTTTTAAAATTTGGGCATTTTTTTGTTACTGTGTTTATCAGAATTATTTTTAAGATGGCAAAACCAGCTGAACAACATCCTTGCTTCCCAGCCTGCAGGCTGCCAGGCAAGTACATTTGTCCTTAACCTGGCTCCTTCCCAGGGCAGAACAAGTTTGCGCTGCCTTGCTAGGTTACTGGATTCTCTCTCACATAAGAGTGCAAGTAAATGTATTCAGGCTTGACAGAGAGCGCCTGCTACAAGCCCAGACCAGCTCTATGAGCAAGAGAAACATTATGTCACAAAGGTAACAGGGTGTTTTACCGAGTGATGCAGTCTTCTGACTGCTTCTCGTTGTGCAGTTTGTGGTAGACAACAGCAGCCACTGCCAGGGGCCCAGCATCTCCACACAAGAAAGTGATGGATCGTCTTGTCAGACAGCTCAGGCTCTTCTTCACGTACTCATGGGCCACCTGAAGGTAGGCTGGGTCTCCGTACACGTCATGCAGGTGCAAATACAGCAAAGCAATGCCTGCAAAAGGAACATAAAGGTTGCACCCACTGGAAATGTTCACCCTTCCCGCTATGTGCCCCAGCTATTTTACCAAACCCAAAAGCCTGGCCCTCAGCCCCACCTAGGGCACAAGCTGCTTAGACAGGCTTCTGACGTGTATCCAAGGGCACAAGCCATAGGTGCAGCACCCACAGCTTCTGTTCCTGCTTTGTGACCTCCTTGTACCTGATGCTGCTCACGAGTGGACTGCAGGTCAGGACAAACAGCAGTGTCTGACCTAGGAGGTCCTGGAGGACAGCAGAGCTTGACAGACAGGTTACATAAAATTTTAGGAGTGAGGAGCAAAAGATGAGACCTAGGCAAAAGCACCTAAGTGAATCAGCTGTACTTGGGAGTGTTGCTTAACAGCACAGGGAAAGAAAAAATCATCTTTGGGCAAGATGGTACGTGTGGCAGCGCAGTGCTGAGTTGTTACCTATCACCTATCTCAATCGTTTTTTCCCATACCAGGAGGTAGAGGACTGGGTCACTTAGCTTGCATTGGATTTTTTTAAAAAATGACATGTGATAAGCGCTGAGAAGCAGCACCTTTAAAACACACTACTTGGCTCATTCTTTTTTTTCATATTATTTAAAATTTCTTCCCCATTCCCTTCTACTGGGAAGCACCAGCAAAGTTGTTACAGCTCCCTGGACATCATGTCCTGCTGCTGGGCAGGTCCCAGGCTCTACATGAAGGACTGGTGCATCCTGGAAAAGAAAGGGGCTGCTGAACTATCCTCTGTAGCACATCATTCATGAGATCAGCCCTTGTCTGAAATGTAAACAGCTGCCTGGAACACTGGAAAAGGCTGCATGGTCCTCCCTGGAGGTTTTCAGTGGGCTGGCCAGCTACAGAGACAGCTCTGATACTGAGAAGTCACATCAATTGCTGTCCTTTGCCTCTGTCTGCCCTGTCTTCATCCAGCTCTTGAAGCTTTTAGTAGGTAACTAAGGAGTCCTCAGTAAGCCTGCGTCTGACAGGTCTGCCACACTGGAACCATCTGATCTGGAAGGCATCCTCAGACATGCACTGAAGAAACCTACTGGCCTACACCACTTGGAGAAAAGCTTATTTCTCCCCTTACCAGTAACCCTTTCAAAAAAGACTCAGGTCCTGCATTTAAGCCTAAATTAATAGAGCAAATCTCTGCAGATTGTGATGTGGAAAGGTGAAGGGGGACAAGCATGCTGCAAAATTACTTTCCATGATACTGAGGACAACTTCAAATTTAGATCGTTTTCTCATTTTGCGTGGGCACTCTCCAAAGCTTCGTGCTACAGACAATTCAATTCCACATGTATATTAAGGGCAAATTTCCATTTTCTGCTGAAGCTAATAACCTCATCCTCGCTTTAAGCAGTTCAGTGTTAGTATTTCCAGAGAGAGCTCAGATGTATGGTGCCATCACTCAAGTCTATAAGGAGGTGGATGTGAAGCCCTTCTTTAAAGGGGAACCCTCCTCTTCCAGCTAGCAAATGTCAAGTGACTCTCCTTGATTTATTTAGCACCTAGCACAGCTTCTAGACTTTAATAGGCCTGATAGCTGTCTGAACACAACTTGCACTCTTGACTTATCTGCTTTAATATACAATTTTTTCTTTGCAAGTAGCTTCTATTCCCACTGCCATCATACCGCTCTAATTATGTATATAACTACCATCCTAAGACCACAGCTAGGATTGACTTCTTCAAAGCAAATATCTCAGCATTGTTTTCCTCTGATTTCTTTGCCTCTCCTTTTAAAAAATGTTTCTTGCCCCCTTTCCTCCCAGGCCTATGCATCTTTGGAAAAGACTCCAAAAACACAGTGACCTGTACTAAAGGACGGAACGGATGAGTTACTTCCCCAAATCATTCATTTTTCCTTCTTCTTGAAAACCCAAACTGAGTCTGAAGCAAATTTTCTCAACTCATTCTCCATGGAATTCCTACTCCCAAGCTGATGAGAAGGGCATATATGTATATATGTAGAGGGATGCAAATTCAGTCACCTGGGTGGGTGTTAGTCTGGCGCGCTTTAAGTGGTGTAAAACATGGCATCACTGGTCAACTGGGGCTAGCTACGCAGTGGATCTGCTCCATTTCTGTGTGCCCTGGAGGACTGCGTTCAGCATCCCAGTTGGAAATGTGACCTGTTTTTGTGACCTTTGAGACTCCTTGATTCTTTCCAGCAGAACTGTTGTGCAGTGGCTGCCTGCGGCCTGCTACTGCCAGAGATGCATGGGCTTGGTTCTGTTCACTGGTTACTATTGGACCCTCTTCTCCATAGTTTCGTCAGACATCAGGTAATTGCTCCCTGCAGTGCAAGGACTGCCGCACAGCCACAAGTGATGGAGGATCCATCGGACATCACTTGATAGCGCAGGACTGCAATGAACACGTGGTACTAGTGACAGCGTATCATTTAGCAGGGCTCTGATGACTGAAAACACTATCTCTGGGGTGCAGTAAGCTGATACACTGGAGTGTTAATGCCCGAGGCACTTGCTCACTGCAGGGAATCAGGAGGCAAAAATCAATTCTGCATGTCTCTCTCGAAGCCTGGTTATTTGTATTCTTCAGTAGGCCAGTAAACAACTTGTCTCTCCTCTTGCCATCCTGCATGAGCAATACTGTAGGTAAGTTTAGACTTGTTCTTTACACTGGATTGCACTACCATTGCAGATAGTTCTGCTGGTGGAAGAACAGCAGGATTGTGACACGGCTTCCCGTTCATGCTTAATAGAGGGGATAAAAGTGAGGGAAAGCACTGCTTGCTGTCCATCCACTTGCAGTTCCCTTGCACCAGCACGGATGAATGCTTATTAGACTGCTCTCAGCATGCGTCCTTGTCCACCAAGAGCTGAGCTGCAACGTGGTTCTTTCACAAGGGACACCAGGTTGCCCCAAGAGCAGATTTCTTGCCCTAATTTAAATGAGTTCCAAACCTGCCACGTACAGTTATAAAAAGCTCAGAGATCTTTCGTTGGCCCAGGGAAGTGTAAGTGAACCAGCAGCCTCAAAGCAGGATGTCAAACACCGAGCAAAGAAGTGGAAACCTTTCTCTGCATACAGTGATGAAACCTGATAGTTTCTAGCGAGAAACCTGATGTTTAATGAGTCAGGCACAGAGTAAATGTTACAGGCACAGCTTTACTGCCCAGCTCAAAGGATAAGCAGCATATTTTCTGGAGCAGTTGCATGGATGTTATCTCGTGCTCACAAATGCATGCCAAAGCCATGCTGAACGGGACAGTGAGACATCTTTTCTGGAGGGCTGTCATATTCTGAACTGTTTGGGGAGCCACAGGTGGATTTTACTGCAGCTTGCAGCTTGCCTTGCTAGTGCACTGTGGGACATGGGGCATTTCTCAGTTTTTACAAAGCTTTGTTTTGCAGAAGTTGTAGAACTTTTTACAAAAGGAACTTTCCCCTAAAAAAAATCCAAGCAAAAAAACCATCCCGGCCCAAAACAAAACTACAGTGTAGCTCATCACAGAATCCTACAACAGATTAGGTTACAAAGGGTCTGTGGTGGTGATATGATCCAACCTTCTGAATGTAAGGCCAGCCTCAAATTTATATCCCATTGCTCTGAGCCTTGTCGAGTCAAATACTGACTGTCTCCAAGAACAGACGTTTCACAAAAAACTACCCACCAAGCACTTGGCAGGAGTGTGGTTTATGTGGGTGGCAACAAGGCACTCTATTCTCTCTCATCAAATGTAGCATCACTGCCTCTTACTCTGTAGGGATTATCTGAGGATTTCTGTTTTTCTGAACAGAACTCTCTTAAGGAGATGCAAGTTCTCTTGGTTCTGAGATTAAAACTAAGACACTGCACTAAAGTGAATGAAAGGTGTTTTTCCAAAAGCTTTCCTGAACAGGTACAGTTTAGTATTTCTATCCATTCTTCAATGGCTTTTCTTTCGTTTGGCATGTCTTTTGAAGAGCCCTTTCAAAAGGCAACTCAACCCTGCTCCTCCTCTCTACTCACCCACAGGCCAGCCAAAAGCTGCGGGTGGGGCAGCCCAGCTGGGCTCACTGGTCTGCCTCAGAGGCCCTTCGGCTCTGAAAGCCACAACTCCATTGCTAAAGAAGTGAATGCTCCCATGGGAAAAAAATTCCAAAGGCACTGCCACAATGCAGAGGAAGGTATTATATAGCCCTTATATACCACTTCAGGTGGCAGATCACCTCATCACCTTGGAAGGACGCGACAAGTCCACCAGGCACCAGACTTGGGAGCTTCCTACCTTCCACAGTCAGGGGGAGGTGACAGGAGTGCAGTCAGTCTCCCTCCATCCCCTTCCATCGCCTATACTCACAGTGGAGGTAGTCTTTGGAGCAAGACCTCCCGCGCTACAACAAATATCACCATACACGTACATACGCTCAGCATGAGGATGCCAAATCTATTTGAAAATGGATGAGGCAGTTGTACTTCTGCCAGGATTTGAACTGCTTCCAATTCCAAATTAGTTTACAGCAGTTTACCTTTCCTCAGTCAACACTTTGATAGCAGTGAAACAAATTAAGACTGCTAAAGTTCTTAAGGCAGCCTAGCTAGATTGATTAAAAGACAAAAGAGAACATAACACAACAGCCGAGTCTGGTCTATACTCAGGCATGTACCAGGTGTTGCCTACGGAGCCCTGATCTCTGCGGGGAACTGAAGGAAACTAGAACAAGCCGATGCAACTGTGCTTTGAGGGCATTAGCCGCGAGCTGGATAATTCTCATCCAAAGTGTGTTTTCACTGCCTCTGAGCTGAAAACGTACGTCCTCCTGTCCCTCTGCTCCAACATCAGGTGCCAAGAAGCCGTGGCTTTCCTGGCACAAGTGCAGGCCAAGGGAACAAGGCTCTGTCAAGTGTGTTGGGAAGAAAACAGGCCCCAAGGTAAGATGGCAGCATATGCTCTGTATTACTGGGTGTAATGTACTATACTCAAGTATGTTACATTTCATGCAGAGCTTGCGCTGAGAGAGGCACATTTCAAATCTCTCTTATTAGCAGCCACAAGA